GCAAGGGCACAGGGGCCCCATGATCCCCTATTGCCCGGGGGCCCTATGAGTTGTCAGTCCGCCCCTGCTTGCAGGGGACTTTTTTTTTTTCCTGCGGTTTTACTACCGCTTTAATCTAACCATACAAGTAAATGGCTGCTCCCCAGCCGGTCTCGCAGAGATCTGGTTCCAGGATGGAGCATCCTCCCTAAGCAGCCTGGGAGTTTTATAGAGCTCTGAGTGCTCAACCTGCTTCTGCTGAGCTTGTTAACCCCTCAGTGAGCCACACAGCACAAAAGGGAAAAAAAATCTGTGTATTGCTTGAACCTGGGACAAATATACCTTCCATCCTGAACACAACCCAGTTTATCCTGGCTTCTTGTCAATATATATAAATATATATATATATATATATATATATATATATATATATATAAAATATACTATATATATATATAAATATATATACTATATATATATATATATATATATTAAGTTTGGCTGAAAAAAGACAAAAGTCCATCCAGTTCAACCATAACATAAAAATTATATATAATAAGCTGAATATATACAAATAATGTTTTATTGTATGCAATGCAAATAAAATTTTACTGTGTATACAATGTTAATACAATGTTACTCTATATACAATGTAGTTCTCTATATGTTTTATGGCTCATTGTGGCATTTTCCTGTCTCTAGTCGGAAGAGGACGCAGTCTGTGGGGGAAAACGCTGATGACCCATTGGACGGTGGCCCAGAGGAGGAGGAGTAAGCTGCTTCTCTCCTAGCAGTGACACTGCAGCATGTTGCAGCTTTCATAGACTGTCCTCATTAAGGCTAGGTTCACATCTGTGTAGCACCATAAAAAGACCCACTATTAGTAACGCCGCTATATTTTATCATTTGGCATTTGTGGTATCACACGGCTCGTTCTCTGGGCAGCCATTTTGTACAGTGTAAGAAGAGATCCCATACTTCCCTGATCCCAATCATGGCTGCTGTTAGAAACCATGGGGCCTGGAAAAGCCAATGTAACAAGGCCCCCAAAAAAACACAGTTTATTATGCTTCAGTTATGAACAAACAAAGTGAGTGATCACTACCAATCACCATTGTGTTCATTCAGGAAAGGAAGGGGCTGGTAAATGTGACATATTTACGTACCCTTCCCCATACTCTCCATCCTATTGATCCCATTGTATTCTTGCACCTGCCTGTGGGAAGGAGAGAAGGATAGCCAACAGCACTGCAGGGGAGGCACACAGGGGGGCTTGGACAGCATGTGGAAATGTATGATGCACTGGGAGGGTGCTGCAGAGAGAGCCATACAAGGGATCAGTTCCAGTAATTGCCCCCCCCCCCGTCCCTGCTGTGCCGATCACTCTCCCTGCTCACATCCGATTCACCCTGATGCTTGGGCCCCCCTGCTGGTCTAGGCCCCGTACAGGAGGACCAGTGGTACCCCCCTAATCCACGGCCCTGATCCCAATACACCTTCCCATCCCAGTCCTCTTGTTGTTTTCCTATTGGTATCAGCTTTCTGGGCTCCTCTGTACATTATCATCTTCTATCTCTGCAGAGTGATGGAGCGTTCCGCATCCGCCGTCAGTCACAGCAGCACCGTTGTCACAGAGCGCCTCCAGGAGCTGGTCAGACTGTTCAAGGGCCGAACAGAGAAAGTGAAGGAAAGGCTGATAGACCCTGAGCTATCCTCCGACGAGGAGAGTCCTTCTGCATGTGAGTAGACTGATTGCCAAAGGGTAAATAGCCTATCCTGTACTGTAAAGAATCCCTTCCACCCCTGATAACATGTCCTCCTCTTGTCCCACCCTCAATCACACACAGTCCTCACAAAATCCTGCACAGTGGACTTTAATCTGACCCCCAGCCTTCCCTTCACTCTTGCACAGTTGTTTAGGCTCCTATCCTGTACTGAAGTTTACTTAGTCGGACTTCACTGCACATTGTGAGCTTCTCACAATGTGCATTAGAAGCTGAAGCAAGTCAGATACAGTCTGCCTCATTTCCTGGCTGGAGGACATCAGGCCTCATCTAGCACTTTCCTCCCAAGTCTGACTGTCTTACTTGACCCCCCCCCTTCATTCACTGGATTTCAGTTCCAATCATGAAGGCGCAGCACCACATGTGGCTGTTAACTAGGGTGGTCTGCATGCAATTATAGTCTGCCTGTGAACACTCCTCCAGATTGACACCCTACTGAGGCAGGGTAATGTGATGTTTTCAGGAATCTATGTACAGCACCCTGCTGGCCCCTTCCATAAGCCATGATCTGCCTTCATTACATGGAGAAGCACAGAGACCCAGTGATGACCTCAGTGGGTCTAAAATAAGGTACAGTGGAGGAAATAAGTATTTGATACCCTGCTGATTTGAATGTTCGCCCCTCACAAAGAAATGATCAGTCTAAAAAATCGAATGGTAGGTGTATTGTAACACTGAGAGACAGAATAGCAACAAAAAATTCAAAAGAAATGCATGTCTAACAAATGATGCACTGATTTGCATGTTCATGAGGGAAATAAGTATTTGATCCCCTTCACAAAACATGACTTAGTACTTTGATGCGGTGCAGTTGTCCTGTCCCCTTAGCAGAAAACAAAACCCAAAGCAGAATGTTTCCACCACCATGTAGACAGTTGGGATGGTGTTCTTGGGTCATAGGCAGCATTCCTCCTCCAAACACGGCAAGTTGAGTTGATGCCAAAGAGCTGGATTTTGGTCTCATCTGACCACAAACACTTCCAACCAGTCCTCCTCTGCATCATTCAGATGTTCAGTGGCAAACTTCAGATGGGCCTGGACATGTGCTTTCTTGAGCAGAGGGACCTTGTGGGCACTGCAGGATTTCAAGCTGCTTGGCGATAGTTTTGGTAGCCCAGTCCAGCCTTGTGTAGGTCTACAATCTTGTCCCTGACATCCTTGGACAGCTCTTTGGTCTTTGCCATGGTGGAGAGTTTGGAATCTGATTGTTTGATTGCTCCTGTGGACAGGTGTCTTTTATACAGGTAACAAAATGAGATTAGCAACACTCCCTTTAAGAGACTGCTTCTACTCTCAGCTTGTTACCTGTATGAAAGACATCTGGTAGCCAGAAATCCTGCTGAATGATGGGGATCAAATATTTATTTCCATCATGAACATGCAAATCAGTGCATAATTTGTTAGACATGCATTTCTTTTGAATTTTTTGTTGCTATTCTGTCTCTCAGTGTTACAATACACCTACCATTCGATTTTTAGACTGATCATTTCTTTGTGAGTGGGCAAACATTCAAAATCAGCCGGGGAGCAAATATTTATTTCCTTCACTGTATGCAATGAAAATGGAAAGGTTTTTATATAAAAATGTCATTATTATGTTGATGAGAGGGGAGGGAGGAACCAGGAAATGATGGAAAGGGAAGGAAGGAAGGAAATATAGACAGATTAAACTTTAGATTTAGTGTGTTCAGTACTGATCACCCACTCAGTGTTATCAGTGGCTCCCTTGCCTGGATATTGCTGAGCTCTCTGTATGGGAAGCACAGCGTGCTGTACAATGAAATATCTGCTCAGTGTAACAAAAATTATGACATACAATGATAATATACACTTGTGATTATATGTACAATGATGATATATAATGATTATATGTACAATGATGATATATAATGATTAATATGTTACAATATGATTATATAAATGATATTATGTACAATGATTATATGTACAATGATTATGGTGATATATATAATGATTATATGTACAATGATGATATATGATAATGATGATATGTTACAATGATGATATATAATGATTATATGTACATTGATGATATATAATGATTATATGTACAATGATGATATATAATGATTATATGTACAATTGATGATATATAATGATTATATGTACAATGATGATATATAATGATTATATGTACATTGATATATATATAATGATTATATGTAATTTTTTCACATATGATGATGTACATTGATTATAATGATTATATGTACAATGATGATATATAATGATTATATGTACATTGATGATATAAATGATTATATGTCCAATGATGATATTATAATGATTATATGTACATTGATGATATATATGATTATATGTACAATGATGATTTCATATAAATGATTATATGTACATATGATGAATCATATGATTATATGTACAATGATAAATATAACAATGATGATAATATGTACAATGATAATGATAATGAATCATTTTCCTCATGATAATGATTATATGTACATTGATGATATATATATTATATGTCCAATGATATATAATGATTATATGTACATTGATGATATATAATGATTATATGTACATTGATGATGATATATGATTATATGTACAATGATTATATGTCCAATGATATTATACAATGAATATATGTACAATTATGATGTACAATGATTATATGTCCAATGATAATATACAATGATTATATGTACAATGATAATATACAATGATTATATGTACAATGATGATATACAATAATGTATAATGATTTGCTTTATGTCGTTGATTTCAGCACCATCTAAAAAAGCTGCAGCCCCGCCACCACCTCCCCCACCTCCCCCACCTGAGGAGAAGAAACCAGAAGGCGCAGTCCCCACTGTGGACGAACACTATTGTGGGATGCTCTGCTGCAAATTTAAGACCCGACCATGGTGGACCCAACTTCACAATTACAAATTCCCATCCAGTATTGATCCACTGACTAGTAAGTAAAGAGGAAACATGAGGCACTGGCAGGCCCACTGCATAGTAAGGAGAAGGAGGCACAAGGTACTGGGGGCACTGCTTATTAGTAAGTGAAGAGAGAGAGGCATGAGGCACTGGTAACCCAAGTGGCTAGTAACTAGATAGAGGCATGAGGTATTGGGAACCATGCTTACTTGTATTTAGGGAGGAAGGCACAAGGCACTGAGTGCTCTGCTCATCAGTAATGGGGGAGGGACGGGGAGCCCCACTGACCATAAAATTATACAGAACAGTCCCCTCCCACTCCATGTAGCCTTTTTTTCCCCATGTGGTCATCTACTGGTGTAGCTCATTTAGGGAACACCTTCCAACTCTCGTGTCGTGTGTGATTGGTTGTGCTCCTCTCACCTGTCTGTACTGCCCCTGCAGACCTAATGTATGTCCTGTGGCTCTTCTTCGTGGTGATGGCATGGAATTGGAATTGTTGGCTCATCCCAGTACGTTGGGCCTTTCCCTATCAGACGCCAACCAACATCCACTACTGGCTCTTCATGGACTATCTGTGTGATCTCATCTACCTGCTGGACATTGTTGTCTTCCAGGTCCGCCTGCAGTTCGTGCGCGGCGGCGACATCATTGTAAGTACCGCTTCAATGTCATGCTGTCATATGCTTCACAATTCCATTTGTGCAATCCTCACATTATACAGACAACACCCAGTTACAGAATATCATCCACCATAGACATTGTGATGTGTGTGATAACTCTACAATCACTTATACCATCCTAAATAGTCCAGTCTGACTATTTCTTGCTCCCTGTGGGTGGGAACTATGTAAGGGGAAGGCCCCAAAAGGGGGACCTCAGGGATCTGGTATATCAGGGCTCCTATTAGGTTTCCAGTCAGCCTGGATTGTGGCAACCCCACCCCTATGGTGGAGCATCCAATGGGGTGAAGGGCAAACCCCTCAGTGTCCCTCCCCTGAAGGACACTCTCGGTGTCTTCTTAGTTTAATACTAAGTTTAAATTATTATAAATCAATCATTTATGTCCTCATCAAACTTTCATCTAATTCCAGACTGACAAGAAGGCGATGCGGGAACATTATATCAAGACTGATCGATTCAAGGTAATTTCTCCCTGAGATGATGTCCCTGGGCCCCAAACATGATTGTACTGACATCACCAGACTGGGCCCCAAACATGATTATATTTATGTCACCCAACCAGGCCTTGAACATGATTGTATTGGTATCACCAGACTGGGCCCCAAACATGATCATATTTATGTCACATGGACAAAGACCCAAAAAATAAGAATATCTCTCTGAAGATACCAAACTCAGAATTTGAGGAGAGATGATTTACATTGATTTCTGGGTCTGTAGGAACTCCAACATCCTGATAATCTGTGTAAAAGTAATTGGACCCCCAGAAATCTGGTACATGTTGGGGCACCTTGGGTCCCAGTCAGGACAGTTAGTGCAGTATAGACCTCCCAGATACAGTGTGGGCAAAATAAGCATTGAACAAGTCACCATTTTTATAGGCCATCAGTTGAGACTGAACCAGCTGATATCAAATTGCACTGCAAGGGGCAGGATTGCTTTCTAATTACTTATAGATTTCAGCTGGTGTCTTGGCTTTCCATGCCTTTTTCCATCGACCTTTTCTTCATGTGTTCAATACTTTTTCCCTGTGTCATTCCATTTTATTATACATAACTTAATTTCTGAACTTATTTGTTTTGGTTTCTTTGTATGTATGGATTGCATGGGTTGTTACCGACATGTCGTGAAAATTTCATGTCAATAGCACCTTTAGAAATATATTTACTGAAAAAAATGGTGACGTGTTTAATATTTATTTTACCCAATGTATCTGGTACATGTCAGGGTCCCTCTCTGGATAGTTGATGCAGTATAAACCCCCCAGTCTGCACCAAATATATGGTACATATTGGAGCCCCTGAGTACCTCTCTGGAAAGTTGGTGTTGTATGCACCGCCCAGAATTCTGATACATTTTAGGGCCCCCCAGCATCCCTGTCATGACAGTTTGTACATTATGGATTTCCCAGTCCCCCGAAGAATTCTGATACATGTTGCGGCCCCCTGGGTCTCTCCAAGTACAGTTGGTGCAGTATGGACCCAACAGTCCCTCTTTCCCCCAGATAACTAGTACATATTGTGTCCCCTTGAGTCCGTGTCAGCATTGTTGGTGCAGTATCGACCTCTCAGATATCTGGTACATGTTGGGAGTCTTTCTCAAGACAGTAGGTGCAGTATGGATCCACCAGTTCCCCCCTGATACTTGGGTGATTGGAGAAGAGCACCCGATATCCAAAAAAAGTCTCACTTGATGAATGTTATAGTTTATTGAAGATAAAAGTAAACAAGTAGAGCCAACGAGTTTTGGGGGATTTGCCTCCCCCTTCTTCAGGGCTAGTATACAGAGAGAGGAGATACATGATAAAAACCCATAGTCAGTCCAAAGGATTTGTATAAAGTGCAAAGCAAACATTTATGTTGTTAAATATAGCTTCAAAATAAAGTGGAATCCTCATTTAGTCTCTAAAAACAAATTGCATATGGTATATAAACTTACAAAATGGAAATATATCCATGTTGAATTTTAAATGGTACAAGATGAAAAACTATAAATGAAAATCAAAAGCAAAAAAGCTCAAAAAGAAAACCAAAACAAAACTATATCTTCATGTAAAGAACAAATAAAAAGTCATCAATAGTAAATAATACTAAATGATAAATATTAAAAGCAAAGTATGTGTATACTAAATGACGAGACATATCCAAACCAGTTAAACATTACAATAAATAATTAAGTAATAGACACTTATGTATATTAATAACAAATTGTTATCAATATACAGTACAGGGGAGGACTGACCATTTGGAAACTCGGGCACTGCCCAAGGGCCCGGGGTCAGTAGGGGGCCCCATGAGATGCTCCTGGTACCTTTTTTATAGGCTTTTTTGAGTTTGGGCAAGGAAACAGGGGCCCCATGATCCCCTATTGCCCGGGGGCCCCATGAGTTGTCAGTTCACCCTTGATACAGTACCACTCAGATATCTGATACATGTTGGGGTCTCTGAGTCCCTCTCAAGACAGTAGGTGCAGTATGGACCCACTATTTCCACCTTGAGAGTTGCTACATGTTGATGCCTCTAAGTTCCTCTCAGGACATTTGGTGCACTATGGGCCCCCTCATATATCCGGTACATGTTGGGGCCATCTGGGTCCCTATTAGGAAAGTTGGTTTATTATGGATCCAGTGAAAATGTGTGGTGGCATTGATTTCTTGGTCCCAACAGATGGATGTCATTTCTCTCCTCCCTCTGGATCTTTTCTACTTCAAGGTTGGAGTGAAGTCCATTCTCCGCTTTCCCCGTATACTGAAGGTGAGGACAGGAGGAGCCCTCAAGTTGTCACCTGGTATATGATCTGTCACTGACACCATTTCATCACCTTGTCTCCTTACAGTATATGGCCTTCTTCGAATTCAACAACAGACTGGAAGCTATCCTCAGTAAAGCCTACATCTACAGGTCAGTGCGAGGCCACAGGGGCCCCTGAGGTCAGAGGCCCCTTCCCCACTCCTTACAGAACCAGATGAGTATTTCCTCCATGTTTCTCTTCCTTCTTCAACCCGACATACAACCTTACAGCAAATATAACTGGGGCACATGAAAAAAAAACCCCCCAAAAGATACCTTGTATACTGTGTGTATATTGTGTATACTGTGTATTTATTATGTATACTCAATATATACATTATACACAATATACTGAATATGCAGTATACAGAATATATAATGTAGTAAACACAGTATACTCACACTCTCTCTCTCTTCACTCTTTATATATATATATATATATATATTATAAACACAGGGTACACGCAGTATACACAGTGTATACAGAATACACGGGATGCACTCAGTATACATAGCATATACACTACACATGGAGTACACCCAGTATGCACAGTACCCGAAGTTTGGGGTGTTCAGTAAGTGCTCTGTGATGATGAATGGGGAGTGTTGGGTTATCATGCCGTTGCTGGGAGGTTCTGAATTTTCTGGTTGTTCCCTCAGTTCTCTCCGGCATGCTCAGTGATTGTCTTTCTTGTTGCAGAGTGATCCGTACAACAGCCTACCTCCTGTACTGTCTGCACATGAACGCCTGCTTCTATTACTGGGCCTCGGACTACGAGGGGCTTCGCTCCACCAAGTGGGTGTATGACGGTGAGGGGAACAGGTGAGAGCGGGGACCCGCCATAACCTTATAAGGGTCACAGATGTCACCAGACCCACAAGTCTAATGGTATGAGCTCATGTCATAAAGAACATATCCACCCAAAACGTACGTTGTGTTGGGTGGTGTGGAGTTCAGGCCATGCTGGTTCTTCTGGTAGGGATACTACTACCATGTCAGGACAGGCTATTACTATTATCACCAACCCAAGTAATTCCTCATATTCCCCCAATCATTAACCAGAGTTTTTCTGTGTCCTGATTCCACTTTTGGGTGGAGTTGCTCTTTTATGACTGCTAGAGGAACCTTGTACATTTCTTTTTGTCATGTGGACACATTCCATATCTAGTCAGCCAATCACTATGGAGAAATATTATATATGATATGCTGAATTCCTTTATTCAAGCTTTAGGATGGACAAAGTGAACTCATAGATTGGAGGATGCTAGAGGAACAGTATAACACTGTCCACATTGGGCTTCATCTTCATACATACAGACAAGTGTAGGGTGTATTCAGTGGCTGAAGCCAATCCTCCAAAGAGTCCTCCAAAGACAAGGCTGACACGTCTTGCCCTGCCTCTGAGGTGCCATTTCTTTGTGTTTCCATTAAACTTTCCTCATGACTCCAGTGACCTCTCCCTCTCCTCTTTCAGCTACATCCGCTGCTATTACTGGGCTGTGAAGACCCTCATCACCATCGGGGGGCTCCCTGACCCACAGACTCTCTTTGAGCTTTGGTTCCAGTACTGAACTACTTCATGGGAGTGTTCGCCTTCTCCGTTATGATTGGTACTCTACTCCTCAGGTGTGTACTCTACTCCTCCTTCATGATTTGTAAGGTGTGTACTCTACTCCTCTCTACTTCTCTATCATGATTTGTCAGGTGTAATCTACTCCCATGATTTGTAAGGTGTGTACTGTCATGATTTGTCAGGTGTCAGTAATCTACTCCTCTGTCATGATTTGTAAGGTGTGTACTCCCCATGATCATGATGATTGTCAGGTGTGTACTCTGATTTGTCAGGTACCTCTGTCATCCTCTTCTCTGTCATGATTTGTAAGGTGTGTACTCCCCTCTGTCATGATTTGTCAGGTGTGTACTCTACTCCTCTGTCATGATTTGTAAGGTGTGTACTCCCCTGTCATGATTTGTCAGGTGTGTACTCTACTCCTCTGTCATGATTTGTCATGATTTGTAATGATTGGTGTGTACTCCCCTGTCATGATTTGTCAGGTGTGTGTGTACTCTACTCCTCTGTCATGATTTGTCAGGTGTGTACTTTACTCATCTGTCATGATTGGTCAGGTGTGTGCTGTTTACTCTACTCCTCTGTCATGATTTGTCAGGTGTGTACTCTACTCCTCCATGTTAGGTGTGTAATGGATTCATCAGGTGTTTTATCCCTCCGTCTCCATGATTTTTCAGGTGTGTACTCCTCTGTCATGATTTGTTAGGTATGTACTCTACTCTTGATGGTCATGATTGGTCAGGTATGTACTCTACTCCTCTGTCATGATTGAGCAGGTGTGTACTTTTCTCTTCATGATTGTCAGGTGTGTACTCCTTACTAATTTGTTGTGTACATGATTTGGTCAGGTGTTTACTCTACTCTACTCAGGTGTGTACCATCTGTCATGATTAGTCAGATGTGTATTCTACTCTTACATCATGATTGGTCAAGTGTTAGTACTCTACTCCTTTGATTTGTCAGGTGTTTACTTTACTCATCTGTCATGATTGGTCAAGTGTGTACTCTACTCCTCCATCATAATTTTGTTAGGTATGTCAAGTGTATACTCTACTTCTCTGGCATGATTCATCAGGTGTGTGTCTACTACTCCTCCATCATGATTCGTCAGGTGTGTACTGTACTCCTCCATCATCATTGGTTAAGTGTATACTCTAGTCCTCTGGCATGATTGCTTAAGTGTGTACTCTTCTCTCTTCTCCATCATGATAGGTCAAGTGTGCATGCTACTCCTGCATCATGATTGGTCAGGCATGTACTCTATGCCTCCATCATGTCTGGTCATAGGCACACTCTACTCCTCCGTCATGATTGGTTAGGTGTGTACTCTAGAACAAGGACCGGATGTAAAATGAGAGAGAAGGAGAAAAGCAGGGGAAAGTAACACTGATAAAAGTGATGGTGACCTATCTGTAGTTGGTCATGTGGTAAGTGTGTCTCTTCTGGTCACAGATGAGAGACGTGGTAGGAGCCGCTACAGCTGGTCAGACCTATTACCGCAGTTGTATGGACAGCACCATCAAATACATGAACTGCTACAAGATCCCACGCAACGTACAGAACCGCGTCAAGATGTGGTATGAGTATACCTGGCAGTCACAAGGCATGCTGGGTAAGAGTGCCTTTCCTGGCTTTGTTCTCATTACCTGTAACTACATTTTCCATGATCCTCCTCTTCAGAATGGGCACATGTCAGGGAGGAGCAGCTTCAGTCATAGCCTAATTACACAAGTCTACTGTTTGTTGCTGAATATAAGAATGGGGTTCTTTGGCCTTACTTATCATTGAGGTAAAACCTGTCCGATTATTAAAAGAAAGCCTGAAGATTCTGGGCTGACAATGAGGATTTCCACAGATGGGAAATCTGATAAAAGGAAAGGAGAAATTAAGGGAAATAATTATAGAAGATTATCCCCAGAGATAGAAGGGACGGGCAGTCTGAGATGTGTCACCTCTGACATTGTCATTCTTTGTCTGTCAGATGAATCAGAACTGATGGTGCAGCTTCCAGACAAGATGCGGCTAGATTTGGCTATTGATGTGAATTACAACATTGTCAGCAAGGTGGCGCTCTTCCAGGTAAATGTCACAATTCATTCTATCCTCTGATAATAGAGAACGCAGTCCAACCTCCCAGGAGAGTCTGGGGGAATCGTTGTAGCACCAGAGGAGTCTGGGGTGATCCTTACAGTACCATCAGAGTCTGGAGGAATCCTTGTTGTAGAGTGGGAGAGTCTGGGGAGGGTCCTTGTAGAGTGGGAGAGTCTGGGGAGGGTCCTTGTAGAGTGGGAGAGTCTAGAGGGAAACCTTGTAGAGTGGAAGAGCTTGGGGGGATCCATGTAGTACCAGGAGAGTCTGGGACAGTCCTTGTACTGCAAAGTGAAACAAAAAACAAGAAGTGCACCAACCTTGCGCATTACCTCAGTAACAGAATTTATTAATAGAAGATAGGTACTCACAAACAGCGAATAAAATCAGGCATGTAGTCCTCAAAGGGACTTCAAATATAAGAAGCCAGCGCGAATCCCATCATGGGGGTAGACACTCAGTATAGCTGACGCGTTTCGAAGGCTATGCCTTCTTCCTCAGAGCTCTGAGGAAGAAGGCATAGCCTTCGAAACGCGTGAGCTATACTGAGTGTCTACCCCCATGATTGCATTCGCGCTGGCTTCTTATCTTTGAAGTCCCTTTGAGGACTACATTCCTTATTTTATTCGCTGTTTGTGAGTACCTATCTTCTATTAATAAATTCTGTTACTGATGTAATGCGCAAGGTTGGTGCGCTTCTTGTTTCACTTTGCAGTATCGATTGGGCTTCCCCAGCCCTGTTTTGGAGCTGCACAACCTTGAAATATACTGGTGGTCGCTTGCTCTGGTGTTGGTTCCATCTATTTGCCACCGGTCTGGACCCTAGAGCGCAGGAGAAATCGCATCTGGTCTACAGTCCTTGTACTACCAGGAGAATCTGGGGGGATCCTTGTAGAGTGCGAGAGTCTGGGGTGAGCTTTGTAGTACCTGTAGAGTCTGGGTTGAGCCTTGTAGTACCTGAAGAGTCTGGGGGGGGGGGGGCCTTGTAGTATCAGGAGAGCTTGGAGAGATACTTTCCGAGTGGGATAGTCTTGGGGGATATTTGTTATATCAGAAGAGAATAGGGTGATCCTTGAAATATCACAAATGTCCAGGGAATCCTTGTAGTATCAGGAATGTCCTGGGGGTTCCTTTTAGAGTAGAAGCTGGGGAGATCCTTGTAGTCCTTGTAGTGCCAGGAGAACCTGGGGGATCTTTGTAGTGCCAGGAAAACCTAGGGGGATCCTTGTATTATTAGTGAACCTATGGAGATCCCTCCAGTACCAGGAAAGGCTTGGGAAGGAGATCCTTGTAGTATCAGAAGAGTCTGGGGGATCTTTGCAGGGTGGAAGGGTTTTTAGCGGATCCTTGCTGTACCAAAAAAGTCTGGGAGGGATCACTTTAGTGCAAAGAGTACCTGTGGGGTTCACTGTAGTGCCAGAATAACCTGGGGGGGGGGGATCCTTGTAGTTCCAGGAGAGCCTATGGGGATCTATGTAGTGCCAGGAGTACCTGGGGATTCCCTGTTGTACCAGGAGAACTTGGGGGATTCCTTGTTGTACCAGGAGAGTCTGGGGGAATCCTTGTAGTGCCGGGAGTGCCTGTGGGTAAACTTATAGTGTGAGGAATGTCTGGGGGAATCCTTGTAGTATCAGGAATGACAGGGGTATTCTTGTAGATCAGAAGTGTCTGCGGAGATCCTTGTAGTGCAAGAATAACCTGGGGGGATCCTTGTAGTACCAGGAGAGCCTATGGGGATCATTGGAGTGCCATAAGGAACCTGGGGGATTCTTGGGAAAGCCTGGGGGGGGGGTGGAGGGGGGTTATGGTTGTATTGAGAACGTTTGGGGCTTTCTTGTGATGGGAGAGCCTAGAGGGATGCTGGTTGTACAAGGAGAGCCTAGGGGTTCGTTGATCTACCAGGAGAGTCTGGGAAAACGTGTAGAGTGTGAGAGCCTGGTGGGATCCTTGTAGTGCTGGGAGAGTCTAGGAGATCCTTGTAGTAGCGGAGGAACCTGGGAACCTGATCCTTGTAGCTCAATGTCATTAGGAATGCTGAACGGTACTGGTACAGTGCATAGTAATTCCAGTTATTTTCCTGCATTCCCTCTGTCCCTCTCAACCCTTCTTCACGACCTCCTTCCTTTTTCTTTTGTTAATTATTTGGTATTCTACCCCTTTCCCCAACTTTTCTCTCTCCCTTTCAACCACCCTCTGCAGGGTTGTGACCGACAGATGATATATGACATGCTGAAGAGGCTGCGCTCTGTAGTTTACCTGCCCGGGGATTATGTCTGTAAGAAGGTGATGTACTTGTAGCACTACCCCCTCAGTGTTTTTTTTTTATTTCATTAGGGGGATTTCAACTTGGATAGGGTAAGGGGTATACGGGATACCCAATGGAACTGAGAAACTGAGGACAACTTCCTGAACTATGTACAAGTGGTTACAGGAAACAGTCTCTTCTGGGGAGCTAGCCAACATCTCCTGTAGTACCACCCCAGACCCTAAATACTCCATATCCAGCTGTTCTGGGTGAATCTCTAAGAAGATGATCCAGTGTCTGCCACATAAATAGTGAAACATTCCTGGGTGGCAGGCTAATCCAGCTTCCCACTAGAGTGCCTCCTTCCCCTTTCTGGCCTAGGGGGTCCAGGTATACTCACTCAGTCCTCCCTCTGTGCTGCTGGTGGGTCGGTGGCTGCTACCAGGTCTTTTAGCTGGGCTGATCGTTCCCTGCTACACAGGTGGTCCTCGCTCTGGGGGCTGGTGTAGATCTGAGCTTTCCTCCTTCCAAGCTCCACTGCCTGTAGGTGAGCCCTCTCCATCTAGGCCCCCTCCCAGGCTCCTTTCTCCAGCCTCACTCTATCTCTAACCTCCACCCGAACTCCTCTCCTCTTCCTTTGCTGCTGAGCAGGCTCAGTTACACTTAAAGGTTGTCCTGGCCCCTCGTCAAGCCTCCTGTTGGGGATTGGCCAGGATCCTCTAAAAGTACAGACTAGCCACTCTTCAGATCCACCCGCTGCTTCTAGACCTTTCTCCAAAGTTCTAGAGCAGGGGTAAATTCCAGAGGGCTGGTCTGCCAAGTCTCTCAGTGCTGACCACAATTTGACCTCTGTTTGCTATCACACCCAGGTTGCTACTCAATCCTCTGTGCTAACAATTGGAGTCTAGCTCCCCCTATCTAACTAGAAGGGTGCAACATATGGGGGGGGGGGATTGAAGGGGTTCAGGTGAGAGCAGAAAGTGATGAATGTAGCTTCTCTGAAACTCTCATTCCACGTCACATATACATATACAGTTGTGCTCAAAAGTTTGCATGCCCTGCATTTATATTGAAAATATGACTGATCATGCCAAAAAACTCTTTTATTTAATAATAGTGATCATATGAAGCCATTTGATATCACATGCCTGGAGTTGTTTGGCTCCTTTTTAAATCATAATGATTACAGAATTCACGCAAATGGCCCTGATCAAAAGTTTTCCTCCCCTGGAATGTTTGGCCTTGGTACAGACACACAAGGAGTCATACACAGGTTATAATGGCAATTAAAGGTTAATTTCCCACATCTGTGGACTTTAAAATTGCAATCAGTGTCTGTATATAAATAGTCAATGAGTTTGTTATCTCTTACCTGTATGCACTGAGCAGGCTAGATACTGAGCCATGGGAAGCAGAAAAGAACTGTCAAAAGACCAGCATAACAAGGTAATGGTACTTTATAAAGATGGAAAAGGATATAAAAAGATGCCCAAAGCCTTGAATATGCTGGTCAGTAATGTTTAATCACTTATTAACCCCTTTGCGCCGGCCGCACACAAATGTGCGGCCTCCCGGCGTCTGGGCCTAGACGCCGAGCGGCCACACATTTGCGTCCATGTAACTAAATACATATGTGCTAAGAGCGCGCGCCCTGCGCGCTCCCAGCACACATGTGTGGTACTCATGGAAAGGTTCCGGTCCGCTCTTTCGAACGGGACCTTTCCGATCATGTGACCGCCGTGACGCATCATCACAGCGGTCACATGATTCCGAAAGCCACGCCCCAACCGCCCCGCCTCCCGGCGTCTGAATCTCTTAAAGGGCCGGGAGGCATCGGCGGGAAGGGGTTAAGAAGTGGAAAATTCAGGGATCTCTTGATACCAAGTCAAGGTCAGGTAGACCAAGAAAGATTGCAACCTGAACTGCCAGAAGACTTGTTCGGGATACAAGGAAAACCCCACAGGTAACTTCAGCAGAAATACAGGCTACTCTGGAATAAGACAGTATGGTTGTTTCAAGGAGTGAATGTGACACAAGTGGAGATGACATATGAGGTAGTGACACAGGTGGAGGTGACTCAGGTGGCAGTGAACCAAATGGAGGTGACACAGGTGGCAGTGACTTAGGTGGAGGCAATGCAGGTGGCAGTGACTTGGGTGAGGATGACACAAGTGAAAGTGACATAGGTAGCAATGACTCAGGTGGTAGCAGTTGGAGGCAACACAGATGGCAGTGACCTCTGTGGAGGCAACACAGGTGGCAGTGACTTTGGTGGCAATGACACAAGTGAAGGTGACACACTTAGCAGTGACTCAGGTGGGGGTGACACAGGTGGAGGCTACAAAGGTGGCGATGACCCAGGTGGTGATGGACCAAGTGGAGGTGACACAGGTGTCAGTGACGCAGGTGAAGGTGATACAAGTGGAGATGGTATACACACACTCATGTATGGCTATTTAAATATTTCTTGCAGAGGGAGATCGGGAGAGAAATGTACATCATCAAAGCAGGTAGAGTTGGCAGTGACACAGGTGGCAGTTACACAGGTGGAGGTGACACAGGTGATAGTGATACATGTGGCGGTAACAAAAGAGAGGGTGATACAGGTGGAAGTGACAAACATGTGCTCATGTTTGGCCATGTAATATTTATTTCAGGGGGAGATCGGGAGAGAAATGTACATCATCAAAGCTGGAGAGGTCCAGGTCCTCGGAGGGCCGGATGGACTGACTGTGCTGGTCAGTCTAAAAGCAGGATCCGTCTTTGGAGAAATCAGGTGAACTAGACTGACATTTTCATCCGTCTCACAGAAAATCCAGAAATATTTTACTGTGACGTGACAGCTTAGGTTATTAGCTGTTTCCCCTTTGTAGAGGACTGACCACTTAATTTACTTTTATATCCCATGTCATTCTGTATAGGGGACTGACCTCTTCCTATATTGCCATATCTGTTGTCCTTCTGTATAGAGGGCTGACCTTTCCCTACACTCTTAAGGGACTGAACTATTCATGTACTCCTGTATCTCCTGTCCTGGTTAGAAACACCTGAGCTTGCTAAGCTGGATCATTGCATTTTAGGCATGGTGATCTCTATTAGATGAGGAAGCAAGGTGTGTTGAATGTTTTCTTTCTTTTTAGCCTTCTGGCTGTGGGTGGAGGAAACCGTCGTACTGCCAATGTGGTGGCGCATGGCTTTACCAACCTCTTCATCCTGGATAAGAAGGATCTGAATGACATCCTGACCCATTACCCCGAGTCACAGAAAGTTCTACGTAGGAAAGCAAAGTGAGTGCGAATCACTGCAGATGTCTCATGGTGTGTCCAAAAAGTACAACTGCCTGTGTTGCCCCATAGCTACCAGTCAGTTTCTGTAAATCAATATCCATTTTTCAGGGCAGTTGTGAGCATGAATGGTGGCTGTGGGGCATTAAGGTAGTTCTTACTGCAGATATTTTGATATATGAAACCAAACATTGTATTCCTTTCTTATTCTCACCGCGATGGTGGCTAGGCAGAGATGCATTACTGTACGGTAGAGTCAGCCATGTTCTCACTCTCAAGTATGGTGAGAGGAGAAAGACTGTTGTCAGAGGTCACAATCTGAGTGAGGGCTTATATCTCATGTTTCTGGGTGTTTATTTCATTCTTCCATTTAGTTACATGTCATTTGGAACTTGTTTCCTTAACTTGAGGTCAAGCTGTTGTGAGTTGTTTGGAGTGTTGGATAGACAGAGGGCTGACAGGCTGTTGGGAGTCTTGGGTGGACAGAGTGCAAATGGGTGATGGATTATGTTGGGTGGACAGGGTGTTCATAGGTTGTTGATGGTGTTGGGTTGACAGGATGCTGATGGGTTGTTGGGTGGATGAGGTGCTCATAGACTGTTGGTGGTTTTGGGTGGTCGAGGTGTTGATGTTTTGTTGGGTGGGGCTGCTGGTGGGTTGTTGAGATTGCTAGATGGTCATAGGGCTGAAGGGATGTTTGGTAGACAAGGTGCTGATGAGTTGTTCATAGTGCTGGGGAGACAGGGCGTTGATGTGTTGTATGGAGTGTTGGGTGAACAGGTTGCTGATGGATAGTTGGGTGGAGACAATGCTGATGAGTTGTTAGGAGGATTGGACAAGGTGTTGATGGCTTGTTGGGATTGGTAGATGGATGGGGTAATGATGGGTTGTTGGTAGAGTTGGGTGGACTAGTTGCTGATGGGTTGTTAGGAGTGTTTGATGGATGGGGATTCTGATGAGTTCTTGGGAGTGTTAGGTGGACAGGGTGCTGAAGTGTTGTTAGGAATGTTAGATGTATGGGGTGCTGGTGCTTGCATTGCTAGATGGATGGAGATCTGGTCATTGTGAGTGTCGGGTAAATGGGTCACTGATGGGCTTTTGGTTGGCCCAGTTGCTAATAGTTTGCAGGTAACGTTTGGTGGGCAGGGTGTTGATGGGTTTTTGCGGGGTGGGCGGTCATCCTTAGTCAGTAAGGCTTTGTGATGGTATAAAATGGGGCTATTTTTTTTGAGAGCCCTAATATGATTGCACCCTTTTCTGTATTATACACAGTAAAGGGAATCTGCCCAGCCTAGCATGCCCTGTTTTAGGTGACCCAATGGATTTGGAGGAAGTATAGAATTCCAAGTAAAGCATTTCTTCTTGGCCTCGATAGCTGGCCTGAAACTTCCTGATTTGACCAAGTTCAGTATAGCTGTTTCACCAGGTACAAGATAGAGTATGTGGAAAAAACTCTTGATTAGTTTTCTAACTTTCTTTGGCACACCGTGGTGATATGGAAGTAATATGCTGTAACAGGAATATGGTCTGCGTGTCAGTGATTGGAATGTCATCAGATCTTTGTGTGTAAGGGCAGTGCATTGCATACAGTTGAAGATTCATTGTCAGAGCCCCATACAAGAATTCTATTATGTTATATCAGAACTCTGCTCAGTCTGCTCTGATTGTCCTCCACTGCAGGAAAATGCTGAAAAACAGCAGCAAACCAAAGATGAGGGTCCAGCACAGAAGGGATTCCAGCACATCATTCCACCCAGACCCGAGACTCCCAAATTACTGAAGGCCGCTGTTGCTGCCACCGAAAAAATGGGCTTCAAGGGATTTTCTAAATTGAAACGCAGACTTAAAGTGAAGACAACTGTGGAGGTGAGAGGGACGATCCTTTTTACTATAGCAATGACAAATGATGTTTGGGATGATCTCCTGTCTAAAAGGGGTCTTCAATCTGGTCAACCATCATCCCTGATCACTACTGCTTCCCCTCTCAATAGTTGGTGTCATTGCCCCGCCCCCTCTCCATTGGTGTCACTTACAAGTTTGTGGATAGCTCATGGATAGAGGGTGGCCTTCAATGTCTACCAACTGCTCACATGGAAATTTCTGAATAATTTTAAAATAATTTCTGAATTTTTACCAACAGATGGACACCTTATTTATTAAGACAACACTACCATTTAGATTTCATCTTTCTTCCATTCTTAGCAGTCTGAACAATGTCACCTGATTGCTGATTGGTTGCTACAGGTTGTATGAGCAGAGATGAGTAGAATGGAATATCCTGGGATTGGTGGAACTTGACTGGCATCAGATTGTATTCTTTGTCCTGGAAGATCCTTTGTAGACTGCACTTTAGATCTTTGTGTCGTGTGTGTGTCAGGATGATGGAGCAATTGTACAATCTGCTGACATGTTGCCTTGTGTATTTATCTTTGTAGCCCTCTAGAACTAGTCCCGTGCCCCCTGGGTCGCCGGTGCACCGAAGATCTCCAGTGCCCACCATAAAACCTGAAGATGACGAGCCGACGGAAATTGTGGCTGAGTCTACAGACAACACGGTCTTTATAAGGGTCAGTCCCTCCCCCCGAGGAGACGAGCAGATACTGTCGGTGGAAGTGACAGCCCCCGAGGAGGAGGGGAAGAAATGATGAACTGGATGGAAGATGGATGATGCAGTGCCTCATGAGCCTCACCGTAAATCTTTGAGGCTTCAACTTTCATCTGAGCAATACTACCGCAATCTCATCTGCAGAGGATCACCACAACTCCACGAGGGACCTGAAGACTAGATTTCACTACAGACTCCACCCATAATGTAATGTAGAAATTCAGGTAGAGGTGGATGTCAATATTCATGGAACATTCCACTGTGTCTATCATAGCACCAGGACCGTACTGTCCCACTAGAACCCTCATGCGTTGTTCTGTGTAGAAGATATCCCTGCAGGGTCTATACCGTCATCAGGGCCGATGTGAGGGACAATCAGTATATGGAAAGGTGGACCAAAATATGGAACAAACCACAGACTTAGCTTTCCTCATCTAGAGAGAGTGCCAACAGAAATATTGCAACCGAAGGAAAGAGGCAAGTGTTCACATTGCAGAGAGGGATCACTCTCTTCTCACATCAGGAATTACTCTCTTTATGATGGAGTTAGCATTTAGAGGCTTCCCCCCATCACCTCCCCCATTCCACAGAATCATACCAGTAAGGGGTGCAGGGTCACAGCTTTGTAAAGGTGGAGCTCTGTGTTTGTTAGAATTGGAGTTTCTATTTTTAAAATAAATATAACATTCTCTGATTGCTGTGTTATCTGTAGTAGGTGGGGGCCAGGATCACAGACACCCTGAATTTGGGGCTGACTTACTGCTCGTCTCCTGAACCCACCTGCTGTTCCCACTGACCTCCTGTGCCCCCCCTCTCCTTCCCGGCTGCCAATAGCCCCACCAGCAACACATGAGGCCACTGTGTTCCCAGAATCCATCTGATAGACTACTACTATTCCTGTGTATCTGTAATGCTGTTGCCCAATCGGGAAAGTGCATCCCAGTGTCACAGTGCCACTATGGCCCAATCAGGAGAGTGGATTCCAGTGTCACAGTACTGCTATCGCCCTATCGGGAGAATGATGATCCCAGTGTATCAGTACTGTTAACTCCCAATGGGAAGAGTGAATTCCAGTTTATAAGTATCACTCTCAGCCAATCAGGAGCGTGAATCCATGTGTATCATTACCACTGTCTTCCAATCCGGAGAGGGGATCCCTGTGTATCAGTACCACTATCACCCAATTCGGAGAGGAGATCCCAGTGTATCAGTACCACTATCAACCAATTCGGAGAGGAGATCCCTGTGTATCAGTACCCCTATCACCCTATCTGGAGAGGGGATCCCAGTGTATCAGGACCACTATCACTCAATCCGGAGAGGGGATCCCTGTGTATCAGGACCACTATCACTCAATCCAGAGAGGGGATCTCTGAGTATCAGTACCACTATCACCAAATTCGGAGAGGAGATCCCAGTGTATCAGTACCACTATCAACCAATTCGGAGAGGAGATCCCTGTGTATCAGGACCACTATCACCTAATCCAGAGAGGGGATCCCTGTGTATCAGGACCACTATCACTCAATCCGGAGAGAGGATCCCTGTGTATCAGGACCACTATCACTCAATCCGGAGAGGGGATCCCTGTGTATCAGTACCACTATCACCCAATCCGGAGAGGGGATTCCTATGTATCAGTACCACTATCTTCCAATCTGGAGAGGGGATTCCTGTGTATCAGTACCCCTATCACCCTATCTGGAGAGGGGATCCCAGTGTATCAGTACCGCTATCACCCTATCTGGAGAGGGGATCCTAGTGTATCAGTAGAACTATCACCCAATCCGGATAGGGGATCCCTGTGTATCAGTACCCCTATCACCCTATCTGGAGAGGGGATCCCAGTGTATCAGTACCGCTATCACCCATTTCGGAGAGGGGATCCCTGTGTATCAGTACCACTATCACCTAATCCAGAGAGGGGATCCCTGTGTATCAGTACCACTATCACCGAATCCGGAGAGGGATCCCAGTGTTTCAGGACCACTATCACTCAATTCGGAGAGGGGATAACTGTGTATCAGGACCACTATCTTCCAATCCAGAGAGGGGATCCCTGTGTATCAGTACCGCTATCACTCAATTTGGAGAGGGGATCCCTGTGTATCAGTACCACTATTACCCAATCCAGAGAGGTGATCCCTGTGTATCAGTACCACTATCACCTAATCCGGAGAGGGGATCCCTGTGTATCAGTACCACTATAACCTAATCCAGAGAGGGGACCCCTGTGTATCAGTACCACTATCACCGAATCCGGAGAGGGGATCCCTGTGTATCAGTACCACTATCACCTAATCTGGAGAGGGGATCCCTGTGTATCAGTACCACTATAACCTAATCCAGAGAAGGGACCCCTGTGTATCAGGACCACTATCACTCAATTCGGAGAGGGGATAACTGTGTATCAGTACCGCTATCACCCTATCTGGAGAGGGGATCCCAGTGTATCAGTACCACTATCACCCAATCCGGATAGGGGATCCCTGTGTATCAGTACCCCTATCACCCTATCTGGAGAGGGGATCCCAGTGTATCAGTACCACTATCACTCAATTCGGAGAGGGGATCTCTGTGTATCAGTACCACTATCACCCAGTCCGGAGAGGGGATCTCTGTGTATCAGTACCACTATCACTCAATTTGGAGAGGGGATCCCTATGTAGCAGTACCACTATCACTCAATTTGGAGAGGGGATCCCTGTGTATCAGTACTGCTATCACCCAGTCCGTAGAGGGGACCCCTGTGTATCAGTACTGCTGAGGTCTGATGAGAGCGGTGTATGCCTTGATTGCTAAAACCCTTTTTTTCACTTCTCACAGCTGTAATACTTGCCCTTACAACAGGTGGGCTCCTTCCCCATACACACATCCTTCACCAGCACCACTCACAGTCTGTCTCTCCTTCCTTGCTGACCTCCTATCTTTTGTTCATCTGCACAGTCTCCATCTTCAGGCCCCGATCACACTTCAGAAATGCTCAACAAGCAAAAACCTACAATTTTTAATAGCCCTAGTTCACATTACAGCGTTCTGTCACTTGTAGCAAAATGCTTGTCGCTCAGAAGAGTACATGAGCTACTTTTGTCCCGGAAGACTTCAATAGAAACACCTGAAAAGCGCAACCTGAGCAAGTTTCAGCGTTTTTCCGAATGTTTCATAATGTGTTTTTAGCTCAAACAACAGCTCACCGTCCCTTTATCAGCTTTCCACTGGCCACATAAAAAATGCCTAGTTGAAAAACTCCTGAAAAAACACCTGATAAAAGCTGCAAAAACAGGCAATTCTGCTAAAAAAAAAAAAAGCTCAAAAATGCTTAAAAAACGCTTGAAAATGTGACTCTTAGGTGTAAATATAGCCTCAGTTCAGGTTGGAGCAGGAGTGAAGATGGAGGAGTTCCTATAATCAGTGTGAATTCTGGTGACCAATCACATCACACCGTCACCAAACTGCTGTACACTGAATAGGACAGATGTACACGGCTCCCTACACTGAATATACCAGATATACCGGGCCCTGTACTGAATATACCACATGTACACGGCTCCGTACACTGAATATACCAGATATACCGGGCCCTGTACACTGAATATACCACATGTACACGGCTCCGTACACTGAATACACCAGATATACCTGGCCCAGTACACTGAATATACCACATGTACACGGCTCCGTACACTGAATACACCAGATATACCTGGCCCAGTACACTGAATATACCACATGTACACGGCTCCGTACACTGAATACACCAGATATACCTGGCCCAGTACACTGAACATACCACATGTACACAGGCTCCGTTTACTGAATATACCAGATATACCGGGCCCTGTACACTGTATATAACAAATGTACACAGCTCCGTACACTGAATATACCAGATATACCGGGCCCTGTACACTGTATATAACAGATGTACATGGTTCCGTACACTGAATATACCAGATATACTGGGTCCCATAGACTGTATGCCCCATAGACTGTATATACCAGATGTACTCGGCCCCATGCACTGAAATATAACAGATGTACACGGCTCCGTACACTGAATACAACAGATGTACATGGCTCTGTAAACTGAATAGAACAGATGTACATGCCTCTGTACACTGATTACAACAGATACAGTATACCTGGCCCCATACACAGAATAGGACAGATGTACACGGCTCCGTACACTGAATATACCAGATATACCGGGCCCTGTACACTGTATATACCAGATGTACATGGCTCCATACACTGAATATACCAGATATACCGAGTCCCATACACTGACTATACCAGATATTCCCTGGCCCTGTACTCTGATTATACCAGATATCCCTGCTCCCGTACACTGATTATACCAGATATCCCTGGTCCTGTACACTGAATATACCAGCTATCCCTGGCCCTGTACACTGATTATACCAGATATCCCTGGCCCCGTACGCTGATTATACCAGATATCCCTGGCCCCGTACGCTGATTATACCAGATATCCCTGGCCCCGTACGCTGATTATACCAGATATCCCTGGCCCCGTACACTGATTATACCAGATATCCCTGGTCCCGTACACTGATTATACCAGATATCCCTGGCCCCGTACACTGATTATACCAGATATCCCTGGCCCCGTACACTGAATATACCAGATATCCCTGGCCCCGTACACTGATTATACCAGATATCCCTGGCCCCGTACACTGATTATACCAGATATCCCTTGCCCCGTACACTGAATATACCAGATATCCCTGGCCCCGTACACTGATTATACCAGATATCCCTGGCCCCGTACACTGATTATACCAGATATCCCTGGCCCCGTACACTGATTATACCAGATATCCCTGGCCCCGTACACTGATTATACCAGATATCCCTGGCCCCGTACACTGATTATACCAGATATCCCTGGCCCCGTACACTGATTATACCAGATATCCCTGGCCCCGTACACTGATTATACCAGATATCCCTGGTCCCCGTACACTGATTATACCAGATATCCCTGGTCCTGTACACTGATTATACCAGATATCC